AGCTTTGCCATCACAAGAATAAATTACATTTTAAAATGTATTAAATTAGAAAACAGTTATTTTAAATTGTAATAATAATTCCAATATTACTGTTTTTACTGTATTTTTCTGACAAGATAAATAAGACACTTCTTTCAAAAATCTTTCAAAAAATGTCTGAACGATATTGTATAATATTATGATTTTGATTATATGAATATATATTGAAATATATATATATTTGAATATATTTTCAAATAACCGATATATTCAATATGATAAGATAAAATGATAATTTGATATATGTATTTAAACTTTTACGTTTTTAATTGTCAATTTAAAAAAATAATTGTTTTAATACGTGTCAAAACCATTGCTATGGAAGCCCGTCTCCACCATGGAATAAAAAAGGTAATTGCAACTTTTTATCTCACAATTCTTATTTTCTTCTCACAAGTTAAATCTCGCTATTGACCCATCGCAAAGACCCACCCCCCTTAGTTACTGTTGCTACGTCCGATGAGCCACGGCACTCTCATGCCACACATCATGTTCTCACGCAGTGAAAAATACGTTGCAGAGTAAAGAGGCGAGTGCACTGACAGACAGACAGAGCAGGTTACTTATAGTATGAAACAAAGTTTTAGCTTTCAAAATGTTGTCACTTTTTAAGAAATTCAAACAATCAATACCGTTTTGTGGCTCTTTAATGTGTCGTGACAGATAGCTGTAGCGCCTCAAGAAAAATATCCATATTCAAAACGTAATAATCACTTTAATCTAGCTTGCGCTCACTGTTGTAAACGGAAGCAGCTCTGGGCTGATGACGTATGAGGTCAGCGTTGCGCATGCGCCAATAAAACACAACCTAATTTTCATTTTTGGGTGAACTAACCCTTTAATGATCGGTCCGATTGCCTGTCAATCAAACTCCTAATTCTGACTTTTTTTCTCAAAAATTGCAAGAAAAACGTCTGAATTGTGAGATATAAACTCGGAATTGCGAGAAAAAAGCACTGGACCTATTACTTAAATGAAGTTGAAATGACTGAAATATCACCTTATCTTTATAGTTAAAGCTTGTCATTTATGTCCACAGATTATTTCTTTGTAAACTGAATAAGGGAATGAAAGCGTGGTTTCATTGATGAACCCTATAGATACGTATGTTCACTAAATAATCTGCCAGATGTTATTTTCTCAATTCTGACACTGAAAACAAAGTATCTGCAGCCAGCTCTGAGAAGGCGAGTTTTCTTTCTTTTTCTTTCCTCTGCCGGCTCAAGTCATCTTGCATGATTTTCCATTGATTTTAATTAAGCTTCACTCAGCAGGTGTGAATTCCTGTGTGATTAAAGCATAAGAAGCAGGCCCTCAGCACATTTTTCTGGCCAGAGAGAAAGCTAGAGCGAGACCGGACTGTAGTGGAAGCACATTGCACAATCGCTTTCTATAAAGACTGTGTACATTAAAATGGTGCTTCAGCTTCCAAGCTGTGTTTGAACTTGTAATTCTATTTCTGCACAGAAATAGCACTGCATTTGTTATGTAATAGGTTAAATTTCACTTCAATTTCTAAATCATTAGACATGACATTATAGTGTCTTAAAGGTATAATTCAACCAAAAATGAAATTTCTGTCATTAATTACTCACACTCATGTTGTTCCAAACCTGCAAGACCTTTGTTCATCTTCCTACGAAGCTACGAGAATAATTTTTGTGCACAAAGAAAACAAAAATAATGAATTTATTCAACAATTACTTCTCTTCTGTCACCGTGTCAGTTGATGCGAGTTCAAAAGTGTACCTCGACATATGCGTGTGGTGCTGCTGATGCAGGAGCCGGCGTTCTGACGAAGAACCCGGATGCACTGCGCATTGTTTGCATGCAGAGGAATGTGCATGCGTGCATCGTGGTACTGTCGTGAACGCGTATCGAACGATGTCCTTACTACCTTTCTGGGCCTTGAACGTGGTAGTTGCATTGCTGTCTATGCAGGGTCAGAAAGCTTTTGGATTTCATTAAAAATATCTTTATTTGTGTTCCAAAGATGAATCAAGGTCTTATGGGTTTGGAACAACATGAGGGTGAGTAATTAATGACAGAAATGTCCTTTTTGGGTGAACTATCCCTTTAAGGCCTGTTCACACGAAGAACAATTACTAAAGTGTTATCAACATATTTAAAGATGGCTGTGGATAAAATTTTAATTTAGCCGAACAAATCAATTAGAAGTACCTGAAGTACAGAAAATTGTCGTCTGTGTGATTGTGTCTTATTCTCTTGTACTTATATCAAGCAATTTTTTTTTGCAGTAGAGGTCAAAGTTGAGCTCACTCTTTTGGACAAAGAAAAGGAGGTGGACCTGATGTCTCCTAATGGAAAGGCCAGTCCATTTTCAGAATGCAGACCCAATGGATCTCTGGGACACTGTTCAGACGAGGACACCATGACACTGCGGCCACAGCGCAAACATAGAGATTACATAGAGGCATCTGTCTGCCATGTAAAAGACCTTGAGAATGGACAGTAAGTTCTTGATTTCAATACAATACCGAATTTTCATGTTCCTGTATATGTGAGTGCATGTTTGAGTTAGAGCTAATGAAAAAAGATTAAAGCAAAATGCATCACGGTTTCCACAAAAATGTTTAACAGCACTATTTTTTTTTCAACAAGTAATATATGTTTCTTTTTTTAACTGAATGTTTAAGTAATACATGTTTCTTGAGAAGCAAATCAGCATATTATATGTAGAATGATTTCAAGAATCATGTGTGATACTGAAAATGTAGCCTTGCCATCACAGGAATAAATTACAAAAAGTTTATTAAAAACATAAATTTAAAATTTCAGAATAGTTTAAGAATATTGATACATTGGGAAAAAAACAAGAAAATAAATTAAATAAATAATAAATATAATTTTTGTGGTAAATATAAGTTTTGCGTTATAGATATCTTTAGTACATCACAACAAACAATTCAAATGATTTTTAAATTCAGAGGCCTTAAACACCCCATTAAATAATCTGGTGGACATTTTTTTTTATATTTTAATATATTTCATATTAAAACAGGAAGTTGAGCCAGTAAATTAGCTATTAGCCTTTAGTTTACATCAGAATACAGAACAAACACAGTTTGTTTTCTACATACTATTGCTAGCTGGTGGCAGGTGGTATTAAGGGGAGGGACATTCTCATTCTATAGAACATTTTTTTGGACTAAAGTTTGCATATGGTAATAAGCATAAAGTGATATCAGCAATATTTTGATCAGTTTTCCAGGAAGAGAAAGATTGTACATTTTTTATATATCTGCTAAAATTTAATTTAGTCAACCTTTAAGAATACACTAGCATATGGATTGGGATCAAAGCTAAGAACCAAAAAATACTAAACTATACACACACAAAAAAAACAACAACTAAAAAGCAAAAATTTTATTATTTTTTTTTTATATATATGTCAGTTTTTTTCCGTCTGTTGGTGGCACAAAAATAACACACTTCAGCTGTAACCTTTGAATGCATCAGTATTTGTGTTTTGGATGTTAAATCTGTGCTGATCTTATGTGTTGTGTTTGGCAGAATGCGTGAGGTGGATTTAGGGGCAGGTCGTGCTCTGCTCATTAAGGAACACGGAGAATTCTTTGCTATGGGACACAAGTGCCCACATTATGGTGCTCCACTGGTCAAAGGTGAGGGACGTCCTGTGGAGCGCTCCTGGTCCTCTGCATTCCATAACCAATAGCTCTCAGAGTATTTTATAACTCACTGCTCTTAGACAAGCCTTATCAAATAGCAAAACAGATTGTTCTTTCAGTAACGTGTTGTATTTAAAAACAATTCTCCTCCAGGTGTGCTATCAAAAGGGCATGTGCGATGTCCATGGCATGGGGCATGTTTTAACATCACTACGGGTGATATTGAGGATTTTCCTGGCCTAGACAGTTTGCCTACCTTCCAGGTAACACATGTTCCTCTTCAACCTCTCCGGAAGTTCCTCTCCGAACATTCACTGCGTCCTCTTGTTCTTACGGACTGTAAAAAAATGTGCATAAAAATTAGTAAATTATTTCTAACATAATATATAATGTTATTATCATATAATATATACATTTTTTTATTTAAAAAAATATTTTCTTAAACATAAGCCTACCAAGAGTTTGGCTTGTAATGTTAGTATATTTGCATTTTGAGTTTATTTTAAATGTGATCCTATATTTAGAAAACAATATAAGTGTGAACTTATTAATGAATCATAATTGATACATTGGGAAAAAAACAAGAAAATAAATTAAATAAATAATAAATATAATTTTTGTGGTAAATATAAGTTTTGCGTTATAGATATCTTTAGTACATCACAACAAACAATTCAAATGATTTTTAAATTCAGAGGCCTTAAACACCCCATTAAATAATCTGGTGGACATTTTTTTTTATATTTTAATATATTTCATATTAAAACAGGAAGTTGAGCCAGTAAATTAGCTATTAGCCTTTAGTTTACATCAGAATACAGAACAAACACAGTTTGTTTTCTACATACTATTGCTAGCTGGTGGCAGGTGGTATTAAGGGGAGGGACATTCTCATTCTATAGAACATTTTTTTGGACTAAAGTTTGCATATGGTAATAAGCATAAAGTGATATCAGCAATATTTTGATCAGTTTTCCAGGAAGAGAAAGATTGTACATTTTTTATATATCTGCTAAAATTTAATTTAGTCAACCTTTAAGAATACACTAGCATATGGATTGGGATCAAAGCTAAGAACCAAAAAATACTAAACTATACACACACAAAAAAAACAACAACTAAAAAGCAAAAATTTTATTATTTTTTTTTTATATATATGTCAGTTTTTTTCCGTCTGTTGGTGGCACAAAAATAACACACTTCAGCTGTAACCTTTGAATGCATCAGTATTTGTGTTTTGGATGTTAAATCTGTGCTGATCTTATGTGTTGTGTTTGGCAGAATGCGTGAGGTGGATTTAGGGGCAGGTCGTGCTCTGCTCATTAAGGAACACGGAGAATTCTTTGCTATGGGACACAAGTGCCCACATTATGGTGCTCCACTGGTCAAAGGTGAGGGACGTCCTGTGGAGCGCTCCTGGTCCTCTGCATTCCATAACCAATAGCTCTCAGAGTATTTTATAACTCACTGCTCTTAGACAAGCCTTATCAAATAGCAAAACAGATTGTTCTTTCAGTAACGTGTTGTATTTAAAAACAATTCTCCTCCAGGTGTGCTATCAAAAGGGCATGTGCGATGTCCATGGCATGGGGCATGTTTTAACATCACTACGGGTGATATTGAGGATTTTCCTGGCCTAGACAGTTTGCCTACCTTCCAGGTAACACATGTTCCTCTTCAACCTCTCCGGAAGTTCCTCTCCGAACATTCACTGCGTCCTCTTGTTCTTACGGACTGTAAAAAAATGTGCATAAAAATTAGTAAATTATTTCTAACATAATATATAATGTTATTATCATATAATATATACATTTTTTTATTTAAAAAAATATTTTCTTAAACATAAGCCTACCAAGAGTTTGGCTTGTAATGTTAGTATATTTGCATTTTGAGTTTATTTTAAATGTGATCCTATATTTAGAAAACAATATAAGTGTGAACTTATTAATGAATCATAATATATTCATAATATATAAAAATAAATATGAATTTATTTATATAAAATAAATAATATATAATATTATTAGCATATATTAATAATAATACTTTTTTTATTTATTTATAATAATTTTTAAGCCATCAATGTGTTTGGCTTGTGATTTAGGAAACAATATAAGTGTGAACTTATTGATGATTCATAATATATTAATACTATTATTATTAATATTTTATATATATAAATTTTTATTTATAAATTTATATAAAATAAATATCTAACTTTATTATCATATATTAAGAACAAATTTATTTATTTATTTACTTAAAAATGTTAAGCCGAGCAGTATTTTGGCTTGTGATATAAGCCAATCTGCAGTTTGACTTGACCAATATTGACCAATATTTAGAAAACAATATAAGTGTGAACTTGTTGATGAATCATGCTTTTTGTGTGAAAATGTTCACAGGTTTATGCAAAACTTGTAAATGAGACCTATTGAATTAAAAAAAAAAAGCATATTCCCAACAAGACATAGAGGGAGTACAAACTCCTTATACGCCCCGAGGACATATGAGTTCATCAGAGCAGAGAAAATTAACCTCAGTATGTGTCATCACTAAGCAGTGGGGGTGTTTTCATAATCCCTCTGTTATGTAATAATCTGTCAAGTCATTTTGTTTTTCTCACTATTTCAGGCCAGAGTCGAAAAGGAGAAGGTGATAATAAGAGCAAACAAGCAGGTGAAGAGTCTCTCTTTCTCTGAAGTGCTTGTGTAAAGAGAGTTATATTTAAGAACAGTTGTAAATGGTGATGTGGGGAATCATCTGTTTCCTGACAGGCCCTTCAGACTCAGCGGCGGTCAAAGGCCATGTCAAAATGTTCAGCTGTCATCAATTCCAGCACTGGATTCAGCCACATTCTCATTATTGGATCAGGTTGCAGCCATAATGTTATAAAATGAGACTAAAATGCACTAACATAGGGGTGAATTCACTAAGTGTTGTTTATTTCCATGCACTGTCTACAGGAATAAATCCTCAATCTATGATCCTTAAAAAACATACACAGACATTTCTCTTAAATTTTAACAAAAAAGTTGTGCCATGCAACATAGTGCTGACTTCTTTAAATAAGGTTCAATCTGTAATAAGGCTAATGTACACAAAAATGATTTACTCTGTAAATGACAATGATTTAATTGAAATACTCACGGCACTGTGCCATTATTTGGTTAAACTGGATTTCTGGTAATATGTAGTTTTTGCACTGAAATACCGTGTGCCTACTAGTGAATTCTCCCTGTGATGTTTGAGTAGTAAACATTTATACAGCTTATATGTGTAGCTGAAACGTAAGCTTGTGAATACCCAATAATTCATTCATTCATTCATTAATTGTTAACCCCAGGTTTAGAATGACCCAGCGTTAACTATTTCAAGTGTGAAAATCCTTTGCTTATCTAAATGTGGGTGACGAAAGTGGATAATGTACCATGAAATGTACGTTACCATGCTGTGACAGAAGAAAAGGCACACATCATTTCCTGTCCCAAACTGATTTTATTTTTATTTCTTATACATGTTTTATGGCAGCCTAGATAAGCTGCTGAATTTCTACATTTCGACTTGATTGGTCCATGCCATCTTTAAACATAAGACAATGCAATTACTGGTTGTTAAGTAAAAATAAAGATAAAGTCTAAGAGATAACATCCAAAGCATCAAATAAAATCATGCATTTATATTCAGATTAGAGTTCAAGATGAAGATGACACCTTACAAAACTCCTCTTGACCTCTGTTGATGTTCTCACTCAGGTCCTGCTGGTCTGGTGTGCGCTGAGACTCTGAGGCAGGAGGGTTTTACTGACCGTATAGTGATGTGCACCATGGACAAACATCTGCCTTACGACAGGCCTAAACTGAGTAAGGTTTGTACACAGAACAGTCCATAGAACAGTGTGGGAACCAAGTTTTACCATATAAAATTAACATAAGACTGCTTTTCCAACAGAAGGTTTTATTTTGACCACACATGTGTGCTAAAATTCAGCAAGTATGATATTGATTTAATGCCCATCCCTCATTTCTTCAGTGTTTAGAGAGCACAGCTGAGCAGCTTCAGCTGCGCTCATCTGACTTCTTTCAGGCGCACGACATAGAGATACTATTAGAGAAAGAGGTGAGAACACTTAACCTGAAATGTTTACTTAATTTACTGAGGAAAACACTTATAAATGTGTCTACTGAGTCTGTTAACCATTACACATTGTGGTGGTACCATGGTACAGTGATGGTATCAGATGGTAATACTATGGTATTTTGAAACAACATATTTTTTGGTACCGTTACTGAAATGACACAATATTTAAATAATTGATGTCTAAATCTGTGTCACTACATAAATTGCCATATGTTTCTTCACAGGTTGTCTCTGTGGATGTGAAGACACGGACTGTGACATTTCGGGATGGTTTTAAAATGGAGTATCGAAAACTCTTCATTGCCACAGGGAGCAGGTAAACGCTCCAGTTACTAACGTAACCTTGGTTCCCTGAGATAAGGGAATGAGCATTGCATTACACGCTTATGGGGAAACTCCTGCTTACTCTGATACTAAAGCCTGATTTGTTCACGTTTATGTAGCTTCACGAACCAATAGCGCTTCAACCCGCCAAAAGGGGTAGAGCCGACTGCTATGTAAGTCAGCTCTGAGCTCCATTTCATCAGAATCTTTCGACTGATAATGACAGTCATCGACTCGCGTGCAGCCTTATAGAACGGCAGGGAACCGAGGTTATGTCAGTAACCAGAGCGTTCCCTTTCAAATGGTCTCTACCGTTGAGTTACATGCTTATGGGGAACACATCCAATAGCGCCGTGCTATAAGCATGTGCAGAACGAAGCCGCTCTGCAAACCCAGCCCCGGAGAGCCCATACTGAGGGCTCCTGTAAGCATAAGCTAATAATGAGACCCAAGCCACTTAGGCTGAGGACTACAGAACAAAACCTTCTCCACATATTGAGGGGATTAGGTAAACTTAAGTGGACGCACAGATATCAACGATAGAAATCCTGCTGGACCAAGCCCAGGAGGAGGCCATTCATCTGGTGGAGTGGGCCCTCACTCCTATAGGACACTGTAAGCCCACTGAGCCGTAAGCCAGGGGCTATAGCATCCACTATCCAGTGAGTCTCTGATTCGCAATCGGCAGCCCTTTAGAACTCAGAGAAAGAGCTTCTCTGAGTGCCGAAACGGGCCAGAGTGCTCAACATACACAAGAGCCCGAACCAGGAAGAGTGGATTGGGACGCTGCTTATCTTCTGAATTGGGAAGAGCTCCCCTCAGAAACTTAACAACAAGGTCGTTTCTGCCGACTGACTGGACAGCCACGACAGCATGATTCGCCGCAATGACTGCCACATAAACTTTGAGCATGAAAGGGGTGTGCCCCTTGTCCAACAGGTCTTGCAGAAAGGTTAGCACGTAGGACATGTCACAAGAGGACGGGTCCTCATTCCGTGCAGCACACCAGTCAGAAAAGACTAAGGGCATAGAGGCGTCTCGTAGATGGAGCTCTAGCCTCCAAAATGGTATTAGTCACACTCGCGGGAAGCTGTAAAGACTCCCATCGAGGGGCCAAACATGAAGGCTCCACATCTCTGGCCGGGAATGTCAAATCATGCTTCTTGCTTGAGAGAGGAGGTCTGTCCTCAATGGTATCGGCCAAGGGGCTGCCGATATCAGCTGAATCAATTTGGGGAACCACTTCTGATTCCTCCAGAGTGGGGCCATCAGGAGGACCGAACATCTGACTTATCTGACCCGTCTGATGACCTGAGGAAGCAGGGCAACTGAGGGGAAGGCATAGAGACGAGCTCTGGGCCAATCGTGGGACAGGGTATCTTGCTGCTTCGAGAAGTAAATTGGGCAGTGAAAGTTGTCTTCTGAGGCTAAGAGGTCCACCTCTACACTCCCGAAGACAGACCGGATTGTTTGAACAGTTTGGGGATGTAGTCTCCATTCTCCTGGAGCTACATTGCCTCTGGGCAGCTTGTCCGGTCTTTGGTTCAGTCTGCCTGGCACGTGAACTGCTCTCAGCGAGACGAGATTGCACTCTGCCCATAAAAGGAGACATCAAGCCAACCTGTGAAGGGAGCGTGACCTGAGACAGCCTTGGTGATTTATAAAGGCTACCAAAGTAATGTTGTCCAAGTGGACCACGATGTGGTGCCCCTTTAAGGCCGACAGGAAGGTTTTTAGGGCTAGAAAAACCACCATCATCTCGAGGCAGTTGATGTGCAAGCATTGCTCCAGGTTTGACCAGGAGCTGAACGCCGGTCTGCCCTCGTACAGAGCTCCCAAACCCAAGTTGGAGGCATCTGTCGTAACCGCTTTCCTTCTTGAGGTCAGTCCCAACGGGACACCTGGTTGAAACAGGTGAGGGGTTTTCCAAGGGGCCATAGCTCTGATGCAGCGGTGGGTTACCCTGAGAAGAAAACATCCCTGGCGCCAAGTGTGGGATGAGACATGGGCTTTAAACCAATATTGGAGGGGCTGCATGTAAAGCAGGCCCAGAGGAATCACAGAGGAAGCGGCTGACATGAAGCTGAGCATCTGGAAAGTCCTGTGGGGACGTGAAGTCCCAAGTCTGAATGACGCTGCTAGCCGCTGAATTATCAGGGAGTGTTCTGGCGTAATCCATGCCCGCATCTGGGCCACATCGATAACTGTCCCCAGAAAGACTACTTGCTGGCTGGGAGACAGAGAGCTCTTGGCTAAATTGATTCTCAGCCCAAGCCGCTCCAGGTGGCTGAGCAGCAGTGACCTATGAGCGATGAGTTCCTGTTCCGATCTGGCTAAAACCAGCCAATCGTCGAGGTAATTCAAAATGTGGCTTCCCATCTGCCTCAGAGGGGAAAGAGCTGTGTCCATGCACTTTGTAAAAGTGTGCAGGGCCAGAGGCAGTCCAAATGGTTGGACTGTATATTGATAAGCAACGCCCTCGAATGCAAATCTCAAGAACGGTCTATGATGAGGGGTTATCTGGATGTGAAAGTAGGCGTTTTTCAGATCCACTGATAAAAACCTTCTGTTTATTTAGCATATTTGCTCGAGGATCTGCTTCAAAGTCAACATCTTGAACGGCCGTCTTATAAGCGAGCGGTTCAGATGCCTGAGATCGAGAATGGGCCTGAGCCCGCCATCTTTTGAAAGAGAAGGGCAGACTCAGCCTGAACAGTTTCCATCGCTCAGAGCTTAGCGGAGGGAGTTCCGGCCTCAGCGAGAACTGACCCTCTCCTCCTCTCTGCGCTGGGATCAGGATGGCTTCTGATAATAATAATAATAATAATAAGACTTCTATTGATATATTTTAGAAACATTAAAAATTCTTACCAATCCCAAACCTATGAAAAGTAGTGTATATAACAAAAAAAATGCATTTAATTTTTTTATTTAAATGAATAAGTTTTATCTTTACAGACCCAAACCTTTGAGCTACAAAGGCAAAGATGTGGGAAATGTGTTTCACCTCAGAACACCAGAAGATGCCAACAGCATCGCGACACTCGCCAGCAGTAAGAATGCTGTCATCGTTGGAACCTCATTTATTGGTAAATTTTACATATACTGTATATATTCTCTGTGTAGTTAAATAATAGCTTAAGCCACTCTTAAGCCACAATTTAAGAATAATCCGTGTCATTGCATTAGATAACAAAATACCATGTGACACGTATTCTAAAGATGCACAAACACACTTTTCAAGTAGGTGTATCTATATATTTTTTGGGGCTTCTGTATGAATAATGATTATATGTGCTGTTCTGTGTTCAGGTATGGAGGTGGCCGCAGCTCTCACAGATAAGGCTCACTCAGTGTCTGTGATTGGCATAGAGGCCGTGCCATTCCGTAAAGCACTCGGAGAGAAAGTAGGAAAAGCCTTGATGAAGGTGACAGAAAATAACTATATATAGAATAACATAAATAATAATATTAAGTTTTAAGCAGTAAAATCATCGTTAAATGGTCTACATCAGAGGTGCCCAAACTTTTTTTGTATATGAAGTTCCAAAAATCAAATTTCATTGAGGGTCGTATACCCAGCTATATTGTAGTTTTTAGTTTTTTTTAGTTTTATTAAATTCACTTATATTCTCTATATTTCAATGCATAAATTAAACAAAAAAATATTCAAACAAAAATTTAATAAATTAGAAATAAAGATATGTTTAAATTTTTTTCAATATGGCATGGCAGGCCAAATCAAAGGTCATGGGGCCCTGGTTCGACATCTCTGGTGTATATATTCTGAGTAAATGTTAAGCATGAATTTTAAAAGCTTAGAAAGCAAAATTCTTAAGTTTAAAGTAAGTTTAAAGTTCTTAAGTAAACATTAAATCAGTTGCATTTGCTTTGGCATTAATGTAACTAATTCTATAAGTTAAGCATGTTTAAATACAATTTTAAATTAAAAAAATGACCATGTGGTGTTATCACTCTGTTGTCTAACTTTTCTTAAACTCTGACAGGGTGAAAATGACTCACTGACTGTATATTATCCCTTGCTGTAACCACATTAAACCTATATTCAAAGAGTATTTTTTTCATTCAATTTTTTTATTTTGTTTCTCTCCTCAGCTGTTCGAGTCAAACAGGGTGAAGTTCTACATGTTGAACGAAGTGTGGGAGATGCGAGGGCATAATGGACAGGTATCATGAAAGTGAGAGAAACAAGAGTTCAGTGAAGTGTAGGGCTCTCTCTTTCTCTCTCCCTCCCTCTCTTTTGCTCTCATTCCTGTAGAGTGATTAATTACACCTGGTCTTACAGTAGTACTGCTTAGCTTTGAATATTTTCAGACACAGCTATTGCAATAATGGATTGGTCTTGGGGTGAAAGGCCAGAACTCATAACAGAAGTGAGCACACAGTCAGCAAAGTAAATGTATAATTGAGAATAAGCAGAACTGTGATCTATTATGAAATTACGTTTGATAAAGTTTGATAACCATTTATTTCAAAAGAAATAACGTACTGAGATTTGAACACTGTATTATAAGTCATGGTGGTAAGAAAATGGGCAACTATGACATAAATGTTAAACTGAAATATTTTTTTTTTTTTTTGGTTTCGATAGTTAAAAGAAGTGGTTCTAAAAAGTGGCAAAGTCTTGAGAGCTGACGTCTGTGTTATTGGCATCGGTGAGTCTGTGTGATTATTGAAATTTGGCTTCTCATTTTTCTTTTTTGCTCTCAGTTTCCCATTTCAGGTCCCATTGTAGTCTTGGCTACAAAATTAAATAATACATCTTTTTTTTTAAGGTTTTTGAAATAAATCTCTGCATTTGTTTGATCTAAAATACGGTAAAAACAGTAATATTGTGAATATAATTTTACTATTTAAAATAACTGTTTTCTATTTTAATATATTTTAAAATGTAATTTATTTCTGATGAAAAGCTGAATTTTCAGCATCATTACTCCAGTCTTCAGTGTCACATGATCCTTCAGAAATCAGTCTAATATGCTGATTTGCTGCTCAA